GAGAACTCTGTCCCCCTCGCTGAGGAGGCAGATTCTGTCGTTTCCGGCGGTATTTGCTGAAAATGCAGCGACTTTGTTGGCAATGGCTGCGTAGATGCGGTACCGGAAAGAGAGAGTGCCGGCTTCGACACAGCTGGCATCGGCTGGCGTCGAGGGTAGGAGACCGGAGATGATACGCGTGTAGCTATTGTACACCGGAGCGAGTATTTATATTGCCTTTTCGGTTGCGATGCAGGTCAGCTCTAGTCCATACATCAGCCGGCTGCCTGCGATGGCCCGGGCAACACGGAAACGTACTTCTCTGTTGTTGGACCGATGGGGACGGGAGATTGTGCGGATGAGGTTGATCCTGCTGCGACAGCTGGCCTTGACCCCTTGAAGGTGGTGGTCAAAACTCAGCGACCGGTCAATGAGAACCCCCAGCAGTTTCACAGTTTTCTTCAATGGGATAGCTTGATTACCGATCTTTATGGAAGGCCCGCAGACCCGATGTCGGTACTGGCAAACGTGGCACCTAGCGCTCTTTCCAGCAGACAGCTGAAAACCTTTCGAAGCGGCCCATTTGGCTACGGCGGAAACCCCTGCTTGGGCTCTAATCCTCGTTCGACCCGGAGTTTGACCTGAGGCTACGATTAGCACGTCGTCTGCGTACACGAAAATGTAGATGTTCACTGGTAACCGCTCGAAGACACTGTTCATGGCTACCAGGAACAAAGTGACAGCGATCACTGAATCTTGGGAAACGCCGGTTTTCTCGCAGAAAGTGCGGGATTTGGTATTACCTACCGATACTCGGAAGGATCTGCCAGTCAGGAAATTTTGGACGAAATGAATGATATGGCCGCTAGGGCCCCAGCTGACAAGTTGCTTCAGTACCGCGGGCGTCCATGTACGGTTGAAGGCTTTCGCAATGTCCAGGGAAACCAACTCCGTATGGAGACCATTATCCTTGGCATCCTTGAGGAGCTTTCCTAGCGTCGCAAAATACGTGGATGTACCGTGGCCTTGCCGGAATGCGTGTTGGCGATGGTCTAGAAAGCCGCCAGACTCGAGAAACTTGAGCAGCGGGTAGCCGATCTTGTCTGGGCCGGCTGATTTCCCATTGCTTCTACTAAGCGCGAACTGAAGCTGCTGCCAGGTGAAATCGTGGTTGATCCTCAGGTTGTTCGTGTCCGAAAGAACTCAAAAACTGCTTACGGACGAAGTCGATGGGTTTGCTAGCCGTTGAAAGGTCGCCTCGTACTTGGAAATCGCAGAGAGGTCAGCGAAATAGTCGTCAAGCTTATCCGCAACGATTCCGGGGTCGGAGACTGCAGCGCCACCTACCTGTATATGCAGTGTGGCCGTACGGCGCTTGGCATCTCGGACCAATTGGCAACATTGGTTGTGCCGTTCTCGATAGATACAGAGTGCGTCTTCCCTATCCGGATCATCTATGGGAAGCCGTTTGACTCGTTGAAGGGCTTTTCGTCGGGCCTTAACTGTCTTTTTCGTTTCCTCGTTCCACCATCTGAGGGCTTTACGCCCCGGAATGCTGGATGGTTTCTGACGTAGCTGCGTTTATTGCTTCAGTGAGACTCTCGATGCTGTCAGGGTTACGTTGTTGAAGGAGCGACTGAAAGGTTTCACCGTAACTCTCCCGTAATCGGCTTCGTCATAGCGTCACCGAGGTCTCCGCGTTTCTGCCGGTATAGCGGCGGCAAAGAGTTGCATCTGAACCGGGTAATGATCGCTACCGTAGAGGTCCGGATTGACGCTCCACTGCATTCTTCCAGCGAGGGAACGACTAACATATCTTCCCTTTCGAACTTGTCTACCAGTGTGGAACCCCTCGAGTCGAACCGGGGGCACCCCCACCTAGAGTGGTGCACGTTCAAGTCACCCAAAAATATACGCGGTTCAGGTAGGTTATCGAAGATGCTGTCGATTTGACCGTTGAGGTTTGCTAATCTCCCACAAGGCAGGTATGCGCATGCTATTGCGATGTCGGCTGGATCCTCCAAGCAAACTCCGAACATGGGAAACTCTGAGTCAAGGTCGATAAACCGAAACGGGACCTCCTTCAGAACCCCGATGGCGACGGAGTGTCGGAAATTGTTCCCACGTTTAACTGTCCAGCAGTATCTACCGCCCAACGAACGGTTCATCTGCTCAACTGTTACCTTGTTGACTTCCAGGGAGAATTGGCTTGACATAGCAGCTCCAAATCCGCTAGACGATTAGATGATTAGATAACTAGAACTTTATCGGCTTTGGCAAGGCCGGTAGGGGGTACGTTCAGTTCAGTTTCATCATGGTGATGGCTGCTGCTCTGGTCGTCGGTTAGGCTAATATTGAACATACTCGATGCATCGTAGTGCTGCAAAACGGACGAAAAGTCGATTTCGTATGCCGAATGAGACAGAGCCCCACCAAAGGTAGGTGGAGGCGTTCCACCCACCCTGGGCAGAGGTGTCCCAACGGAAGCGGAGGATTTGTTACCCGGTGACATTTTAGTGACTTCGGTCGTTGTGGCGGTGGTTTCGATTCCCTCGGAGTCCATCGGGGAATGGGTTGATGAGCCCTTATCCGTCCCGATATCACGAGCAGACATGACTCCCTCGTTGTCCGTAGGGGGATGAGCGCTTACGCCCTTGTGCGTCCCTCTTCCAGACTTCCCCCGGAGCGGGGGGGGGGGGGGGGTTGCCGTCAGTTCCAGTGTGGGAGTGGCGTCCGCACCGACGGGGCTACCGCTGGGCTCTTCTGTTTGTTCTTCGTCCGAGGACCACAGAGGTGGTCCTGCAGTACCGGTGTGGGGAAGGCGTCCGCACTGCTGGTGACCTGCGTGCCCAAGGCACAAATATCTTCGCCTTATTTGTTCGAGGCTACCCGAGGTCATACACAGGTATGCTTGGCGATGGTTATTGCGTGTGTTCGAAGTACTTGGTGGTGGTGAGTTGGACATTGAAGATTTCAGAAAGGATGGCGAAGGTCTGACAACCGGTGATTGGTGGTGATTGCGAAACAATTACTTCCATTTTCCTTTGGGAGGTTTGACTTTGTCGGGCTGCTCTGGTGAATTGCGATGCGGTCGTGGAATTTTGGGAGCTTGGGCTATGCGTGGTGAGCAATTTGGTGGGTCGAGGTCGCTGATGGGACGTTTGGCAGTTTTCGGCGTGTTGACGTTTGGCAGAGGAGTGTCTAACCTGGTAGCGGCGTTCGGACTGTTTACTGGGGTGATGGATGCATCCGAGTTCTCTTCTGTAGTGAAAGATAAGTTACTGCAGGGCTCGATGGGGGTTCCTTGAGACGATGCTGGGATAATGATCGGCTTGTTAACTCTGTAACAATGAATTTATTTGATGTTTTCTGCGCGATAGGCCCAAAATGGGCGATTAGGCCGAAGTAGTGCTCTACTCTATATAAGTGAAAAACGAAAAAAAAACTCATCGCTGATTTTTTGATATGTTGTGTAAAACAGCCTAAATTTTCAAGTAAAAATATAAAAACATATTGGGAGCTCTGCCTACAAACCATAAAAAATAGATACTAGAATCAATGTTTTTCAATACAAAATCCCAATTTTTTAATATCATTATATTTTTTTCTAAAAAGTAATACCTTTCATTTGATATTTTGATTTTTGCAATCGGCCAATTGGTTCCAAAGTAATGAATTTGTAAGTCATTTTTGAAAAAAAAAAAATCGATTTTTGACCACCCTAATGATAAAATAAAAAAACAGATCTAATATTTTGCGATAAGGAACAAAACTATCAAGTTTTACACAATTCTGATGACCACTATATATCGTTATGCTATGTAATGGCTGAATATGGGTATTTTTGAAATCGGGGCGACGTCTTCCGTGGTGACGGCGGCTTCCGGTTTGAGAAAAAAAAATTGAATTACTGTCAAACACCTATCAATATTGGTATTGTGGAATCCGGATGACGGCTAGCAAATGAAAATCGATATCCGATGCCATTTTTTTTTTATTCAAGATGGGGACTTTTGGTTTCAGAAAATGGGAAATACTGCCAAATACCCATTAATATGGGTATTTTAGAAGTCTCAGTGACATGTAGCCAGAAGCCGATGTCCGACACCATTTTAAAATCTAAGATGGCGGCTTTAGTTCATAAAAGTATGAAATACTGCAAAAAACTCATAAATGTGGGTTTTTTCAGGAATATGGGAAATTTTTGTAGGACTTATAAATTTTGAGTTATATTTTTTTGTAGAAAATATTCGTAAAAAAGTTCGACCCTTTTCAAATGATGGTCAAGTTATTTTTTAATAAAATAAGAATGTAAAGTTTCTTAAGTAAAATATATCTTTATATCCAGAAAGTTTCACTGAAATCTGAGAGGATGCTGCCAACCCCATAGTCGAGTTGGCGTGAAATTCGTTCTAAGAATAACCAAAATTATTTCAAGGCCAGCCATAATTCTCTGAAACGGCTCTTAGGAGGTCATAACTTTCAATCATCCAATAGCAACAATTTACAAATCTACCATTCGATTTTCAACAGGACAAGAGCTTTGGGGAGACTGCGATTGAGCAACACAATGCCTTTTCGAGAGCAGCCTCTACAGCACGATCCGAACATTAGAAGCTCGGAGCTCGAGCTTATGCAGTGAATAACCGAACGAAAAAAGAAAAGAAAAGAAAACAAAGAAGCAAAGATATATAAGCGCTCTTTGTTTTCATTCCATCTTAAGCGTCGTATTTCTGTCTCACTGGCTCCAGAGCTGGCCGAAACCATGAATTATTCAAAAAATTCCGTGCATTGTTTCGCTTGATACATATATAAAATGGGGGGCGCAGCAACCATCGGCAGCGCCAAGCTTTTGAAGTTTTCAACATTCCCGAAAGGCACATACGGTTGGGTTTTTCCACAGAGAAAAACAACCAGCAAAAAGCAACAAGCTCGGAAACAGCCTGGCGGGCTAGACGTGGAGCAACAACAAAAAGGAGGTGGTATCCACACTCCCACCACGCCCTCTCTTCGGTACTCACCTGTGTTTTCAGAAGTTTGTATAGATCAGTCTCCATTAAACACTGAACAATATATACATCTTTCATCTGTTCTATACTAGGCACCCGCAGGATATCTCTTATGTCTATGATCTGAAATGGAAGAGGTAGAATAAAAGCTGGTATTAATTTCCATATTTTTTTTTATTTTGGATGAAAGTAATGGCTTATTTATGGAGACGCATGGTGGATGACAAAAACAGTTGAATGGAACGAACGGCTCATTTATTTGGCACAGATTTTCCGGACACGCTCTCGAACATTCCGGGAATAATTAATCGCTTCGGAAGCAGACGACACAGTCACAGCTAGTGAAGGAACGTGCCTCGTCGGTTTAGACCTATCCGATAGGAAAAAAAGAACGAGCGAGGTTTCATTGTCTAAAGCTTCATCGTTAATTATTTGCCATCCTCTTCCGCACCGTCTGCCTCGACCCGCGAATCCTAACTAATGGTTGCCGAATTCGGTACGCATGTTAAAAATAATTTCAACAATTCGTCTCGGCCATCCGTTGTAGCCTCAGCTAATCATTTCTAGTGCTTAATTATCCTCCGGGGAAAGTACGGGGGTGCCTCTTGATGAGCTGAGATGTCGGAACAGGAGGAGAAGGGCATCATTTCACGACGCAGTGCGTCGTTTCTTTTAAAATGAGTGGAAAAGTTTGGCAATTCAATTTCCAAACGAAGATCCTTCGTGGAACATTTTTTCCGATCGCTGTACGGATTTCAGCAAAATGGACGTAATGTTCCAATTTGGAGTTTTTAAAAATTTTAAGACGTTTACACCATTTTCTAGTTTTCAAGACTATGTTAGCGTTTCACGTTTAAGGCTATTTTTGGCATTTTAATGTTGTTTGGAATAGCATTATTGTAAAAAAAATCAGTATCACTGAAACACCAGTTGAACGAAATCTTAGGTGTCTTCAGAGGATAGTTTCAAATTGTTCTATTGGGGTGTTATTTTTCCATACATTTTTAAAAATACGAAAACAATTAAAATTGTTGAATAGTGAAAACATATAGTGAAAGTATACAGTTAACAGTGAAAATGGATAGTGAAAAGTGATACAATAGTAGTAGAATTAAAAAAAAAACAATGTATACACTTATTCTTCTAAAACGCAATTCAATCAATTTAGGTTTTTAAAGTTTAAAAAATGCTTTAAGTGCAAAATTTCACAAAAATGTTGTTTGTACAAAAAGTTCAAAATTTGTCATAAAGTTGTTGCTCAGTTATTTTTGTTAATTTTTAAATGTCCAATGCTTTAAATACTAACATCAATGGTTACCCAAAATTACTTGATTTTTTTTACCGGGTGTAGTTTTCCAGGAAAGGAAATATTTTGTTTCAGACGTCACTTCGATTTTAAGTGACGATTTCGAAATTTGATTTGCCAAAAAAAATTCAAATGCCCCATTTTATTTTTTTATTTGCGAAAATTAAAATGACCTAAATTCAAATGTGAATGATTGAATTTAACACTTATGCAAAGTTTCATGCAAATCGGGGAAGGTCGCATCAAATCGATTCGTCATTTAGCGTGGAACTGCTCAAAGCGATTTTGACGTTTTCATGACTTTTTTTATTAGCGGTTATCTAGGAATCAAAAATATCACCAAATGACAAAATGACAAACGATCAACGAACCGATTAATAACGCTATGTCAGAAGTGCAAAGAATCTTCTTAGTTCTTTTTCATGACAAGCAGCCCGTGCGATACAACTTACTCAGGGCGGTAGAAGGAAACGAGCAAATTGTTGGAAAACTGCTTCACGAAGTAGAGCCGAAGATGATACACGTGTGTTAATGGGAATTTTTTTGTTATGTCTTTTCTCGATTCATATCAAGCTATGTCCTCATCCGTGTATATTGCAACAAAGCAGGCAAGCAATATATCATTATCCTTTTACCACTCGGATCGAGCTATGTTATAGAGCGAGTTTGTCATGGTAGTCGTAGCAACCGTTTTGTCTGTATCGTTGGTTGCTTTATGTGTTTGGATTCGCTGGCGGTTATACATTTATTTTTAGAGTTAAAAAAAATGTTGACGGATGTAGGTTGATGTTGGCGTTTTTGTACAAATGTTGATGTTCTAATGTAATTTTTAAAGTTTTGTATGACACATAAGGAATTTCCGGTATCATTGGTATTTGAACGTTTAAAAAATAATGTTTGCATTTTAGGAGTATTCCGGACTTTACTAATCAAATTTGTATCAATTCATGCGAGAGATTGACAACTACAAATTTGAAGAAGATACTTAACTAATGACAATGTCAGACTTCTTCTTTCTTTTATTTAACGTCGGTCTCTGTTCCGCAATCTAATGCCAATCACCGACGCACATCGATTGCCATCCATTGACACCTGCGTAGGATAACACACCCATTCAATTCAACACGCATGTGCCGGGACCAACGGCTTTACTTCCCTTCCGAAGGAAGGCGTGACCAAAAATTGTTATGCCTCAGAAAATCCCACAGACCTCGGCTGGGATTGAACCCAGACCCATTGGGGTGAGAAAGCGGTCACGCTTACCACTGCACCACCGGCGCCGGTATAACAATGTCAGACTGCAGGCGAACATTCATGCTAGAGAAAGTAATGAAGTACAGCATTGATAGTTCCGTTAAGGTTCTACAAAGGGTAAGTAATTTTGTGTTCTTCTTCTTTTTTATATATCATAAAATCATCATCATTAGTTTACACATACATTCATATATTATGAATACGAAAATTTAAAACATGAATTTCGTGGGTAAAACACGAAAATTTCCTGGGTAAAACACATTCACTGTATTTACTTACTTGTGTTCTTCGAAGTATTGCACAATTAAACGCAATCGAATACACGAAACTCAAAACAACTGCTTCACAAAACTCTTGGTGAACAAAATTCATCACAAAGAAAACCATTTCTACTTTACTGCTTTGCTAGCAATCGTGAAAGTATCATTGAAACAGCGGTGCCAGATGTATTGCCTCTAGCAATGAATTTAAGTTTATTAAAACAATTAATTGCGAAGTCTGCCTTATTAACATAGATGAGTGGATGTATTTAATGGTGGATAAATATCAAAAACTGATTAAATAAAACATAAATGACCATTTTAAACATTTTACCGGTCCAATTAAAAAAGTCACAGAAGATTGAATTCAACACTAACAGGGTTGATGGCAGCAGTGCACGTAGCCTGTTATATACTTTCCCGCTCAGGGGTGTAAACAAACTTGCATACAGCGCAGTCTGGCAGTGCTTATGTTTTGTCTGCTACATTCTTATCCACTAGATAGTGTGACATTACATTTGCTGTTGTATTGAAATGAAGGAAGAAAAGAGATAGTTAAGTTTTCCTCACCATACCAGTTGATATTTATGAAAAATGGGCAGTTTTGGCGTGGGGACACGCACTTCCAATGAATTTTACCAATACATTTAGAAAATGATGATCGAAGAATATTTCAAAAAGAAGAAGTAAACAAAATAATGACCCTTTGTAGAACCTTAAGAGTAAGGTAATGTGAAAATTGTGCAAAGAAGTTGAATATTAAATGGGATTTTCATGAACAAATTGATGACCTAGAACTCCAAAACCTCTTCACCGGAAAGTGGAATTAGGAATTCTCATACATTAAAAAAGTTTTCTTCATATTACGAGCACAAAGGCTATCTAGAATTTATCAACACAAGAGAACTACCGTATGCGTGATAATGTTTGCAGCATTAATCAATGTCAAAATTTAAAAAAATTCTCAAAAATTTCGTTTTTGAGTTTTTTTTTTATTTATTCAAAGGGGGGATGTTTCTCAGAGTCTAAAACTATGTTAATCATCGATCGAGTTTCCACTTGCTGCAGTTACGGCCTCCACACGCTTCCGGAATGCACGGCAGGTTCTAATAATGTAGTCTGAATCCATTTTTCTCCAGGTACGGGTCAATGTTTGTCTGAGGCTTTCTGTACTCGGGTGGCGTTTAGAACAGGCCTTGGCCTTCATGACGCGCCATATTGAGTAATCCAGCGGATTAGGATCGGGGCTGGATGGCGGCCACATATCCTTCGCCCAGAACGGAAGATGTTCCTGCAACCACTTCTGAGTGCGGTTCGAGGTGTGGCACGGAGCCCCATCTTGTTTAAATACAACATTTGGCTTCTGACCGTACTGTTCTTTGATCCACGGAAGAACATACTTACTTAAAATCCCGACGTAGACCTCCGTGTTGACCTTGTCGCCTTCTGGAATGAACACCGGGTCAATTTTTTTTGCCATCGGAAGCCACCAATCCAAACACCATAACGCTAGCAGGATGCTTGGTCAGATACAAGTTCTTGTGCTCGTTGGCCACGTCTTTTACAGGAAGAGAACTAATATACCGGTCGGTTCTGGAATTTGAAACGGGATCGACGGTAAACATGCTCTCGTCGGTGAACAGGATTAGCGGATTTATCGCTTAAGGAAGTTCAAGATTTTCTTGCATCGTTCGACTCGTAGCTCCCGGATGCCGTTGGTAATCATGTGAGTTTTTTTCCGTGCCCTCGACTTCGCCCCGCAATCTTCCTTTACGATCTTCCGTGCCGTAAAGTCACTGATCCCGTGTTCCTTTGCCATTTTCCTTATTGAACGCACTGGATTCACCCGAATCTTCCTTTTGATAGCAGCGATAACCCTCGGAACCCGAGCTGACATCGGACGACCTGTGGCCACCTTCGCGGATAGTTGTCCTTTCTTTTTTCGGTCTAAAACCCTTTTGAGGGTCCACCGGGACACTCTCACGGCGATTGAAATGTCTTTTTGCGACATTTGCGCGTGGAACAAATCACGAATACGCTGCCACTTCGTCATGGTGCAACTGTCAAACTAAGTAAATCATTTTCTTTTATACACAGCCTACTGCGGTATGAGCTATATGTTACGTGCATGCAAAGAAAACCAAGGCATTGTATGCACAGGTTAAAAAGGGAACCTTATTTGTACGATGGTGCAAATATTATCACGCATACGGTAAGTGAAACACATGAATAAAATAAATATATATTATAAAATTATTAACCAAATTCCCGATTTATATTTGACGTTTGTCAGCTGGCACTTG